TGGCGGGCGGCGGGGCGGGGCGGGGGCCGACGGAGATCTCGCTCTCGCTCTCGCCCCGCGGGAAGGGGGAGTGGAGGCGCGACCGGCTGCGGGAGCTGCAATTACCGTGTGGGCTGCGGAATTCTCGTGGTGTTTGTCGGGGAGATGCGATAATGGCGTCCGTCCTCGCGAGAGAAGCCGCCGCTCTGCGCAGGCGTCGCCGGCGCCTCCCCGCGGCCCGCGGCCCGCCCTCTGCGCAGCCTCGCTGGGCTCCGGCCGCGGGGCGGGGCCAAGGGGAGGAGGCGGGGCTTGTGCACCGCCCCCCCCTCCACGCGCGCACCTCCTCCGGCCGGTTCAGGCGAGCATGCGCAAGCGTCGTGCCCTCCGGCCGAGGGTTGTCTCCCCGGGGTGCCCTTTCCTGGGCCGTGCGCTCACGCCGCCTGCCGACACAGAGAAAGTCTTCTCTGTGGGCCATCTGAGGCTCGTACACCCTCTCTGAGGCGACGGCGTTCAAGCGACGACTACACTTCCCAGGGTGCACTGGGCACTCAGCGCGGTGCCTTCTGGGAGCCGTAGTCCCGGGGGAGGTGACTGTGGTGTGCCTGCCGGGATTTGTAGTCGGTTCAGACTCGGGCCTTCGCGCCCCGTCCCCGCCCCGAGGGCTGCTGGGACTTGTAGTGCCGCAGACGCTGGTGGGCTGCGCGTCCCCCAGCCAGTCCCACGCGCCTGGCCTGCCGTCGGGCTTGGGGCTCCGGAGTCTCGGGGTGGCGCGAACCTTAAAGGGACTCGTAACGGCCCGGGCCGCTTATCTGGCCCGGGCGGATGTCGGCCACCAGCGTGTGCCGGAGGAAGGCCTCGTGGAGGTGGGACGCGCCGCCGTGCAGCCGCCCGGGCGCCGCCCGCCCCGGGGCTCCATCCCGCGGCTCCATCCCGGGGCTCCCGCCTGGGCCGCGCCGGGCCCGGCGTCGCGCCTCGCTTTCCGTCCCTCCTCGCCTGGAACCGGGATTCCGGAGAGGAGGAGGCTTGATCTCGCGCTGCCCGCCCACTTCCCTGTGCGCCGCCGGCTGCGCGACCCCGGGCGGCCTCGCCGCGGAGGCCCGGCGGGCCGGGGGACCCGGGGAGCGGGCGCGGCGCCCGCCGGGCTTTCCCGGACCGAGCCCCCGCCGAGCCCCGCGCGCCGGAGACCTGCCCCGCCCCGAGACCGGGACGAAGCCCCACGGGGAAGCCTCTCGGCGGGGCTCGAGGCTGGGAAGAGGGAAGCCAGGGTTTGGGTCCCGGGTGAATGAATGCTTGCAATCGCACGTTGCCTTGCGCACCAATTGGATGCTTTCTATACCAGAATAGTCACCGAGGGCAACGTCCAGCCCCATTCCTCCTCCCAGCGCCTCGCTGTGGCCCATCCAGATACGCCCTCCTACTCAAGCTTGTCCTGCCGACCGCTGGCCCTGGGGCTGCTGGGTGCAGCCCGCCCGCCCGCCCGGAGGGGTGGTGGGGAGCAGGGCACACTGGGCTGTGCAGGTACGCCTCAGCCACCCGCTGTCAGTCACAGCTGGAACTGGACTGCGGATGGCCACCGATCAACAGCAGCCCATGGAGCTCACAGAAGATAACAGCTCTAGCCCGACCCCAGCAGCCCCACCGCTCCCCCAGGCCATGGGAGGTGTTGATGACACACAGCCCAGGCTCTTGGAGTTAATGAGACACGACCTGGTGTGTCTGCACACTGCAGACCCAGCAAAAGCTTGCGGTACCAGGACCTGCAATGCGTTGTTCCGTCGGTCTGTCCAGTCTCCCACTGGCAAATGGGGCTTCCTTTGCTTTGCTAAACCTCCCGGGCCCTCACACAGCAGCACTCATGCTGGGCTGCCCACTGGCTCTCTTGGCAGTGCCTAAACTAATAACCCCACTTCTTCTACTTGCTCCTCTTGGTAAACCTTGCAACCAACCCATGCACCAAAATTCCTGACCTAAAATTCCCCTAAGTAATGAAGTCTTGATGTGTACTCTTCTTCTCATTGTGAGTTATGATCCCCAACACCATGATCCTAATTACAACAAAATCCAAACCATTTGATCTAAACAGAGCTGGGCACAGGGAAAGATTCACCGTGCCTGGGGGTGGAGCAGATGCATGGTCCAGCCACGGTTCTCACACCCCAGCTTCCTCAGATTTCAGGCATGGGTCACTAGGACCCGGCTTGGCTTGTAGGTTTCTGTGATTGTGAGTGATGAGGTGAGCAGTCTGCCTCCACTCTGGGGAAGTTGGTAGGGACCCCAGCTGACTGTGCTCTGTCCCCATCCCTCCTGAGAGAGTTGGTGAGGAGGGCTGGAGCTGCAGATCTAAGATTCTACAATCTAATCATCAGCCTGGCCCTCTGGGCAAGAGACAGAAAGCTTAAACTAAGAACCACCTCAAGGATAACGCTGCCCTGTCTTCATGGGCTCTATCACCCAAGAAAAGACACTGGGATGAGCCGCTGCCCAGGCCACAGAGGGCTTCCTGTGACCTGATGTCCACAAGGACAAAGATCTCAGGTGGGACTGCCAGAATGACCACATAGCACATTGCCCAAACAACACAGACCCTTGTGCATGAAAGGGACATGATTAATGTTTATGCAGAGGCTGTGGTGTAATCCGGGAATGTCACAATGACCCAAGAGGCCTGTACCCAGTGAAGGCCACAGGTCCCACATGCTTCCCTGCTGCCAGACCAAACGGTGTCCCACACCTGGGACAGGCCAGGGTTGAAATTTAACTACCAGGTTCAGGGGTTTCTGTGTGAGCTTCAGAAAGATGGGTATACCCCAGACCACAGCTATCCTGGGCACAACCAGACAGCGGGACAGTAGCCCTCTTGGTGACCAAGATGCTCAGGGCCATGGTGCTGGGGAGGGTGGCGTGCCGGCCCCCCAGGACCCTCTCCCTGGTCAGGAAGATGTGGGAGTCTCCCCGAAGTCCTGCCGCAGGGCAGGGGCAATGGAGTCCCCAGCACTACTGCACACTGGGAGACGGAAGTGGTACTTGTAAGTAGACTCCCAATTTCCTCCCGATGTGATTCCAGGCTTGGATGGTTCTCAGGACCTTTTGAGATGAGAGACGGTTGCCGGCCAGCTGCTTGGGTTCTGAATTTTGGCCCGTCTCTGGTGGCCCTGAGCAAGTCATTTAACAGCGCTCACAGTCACCGTGGTTAAGTTTTCAGGGGCAGCAGCAGTACGCACACCGCCACCTTGGGCCAGGCCTTCCTCTTCCTGACCTCAGTGCTTCCCCTGTAAGATGAGGGTGGGCGTTGCATGCATGGCTGCTGGGTTCTGTTCTAACTCAGCACCCTAATTACTTCCTGGGCTTTGGCGGTTGGAAAGGCCCAGACAGACACCCACTGTCTGTGGACACTAATAACACTGGAGAGAGAGAAGAGTTTGGCCAAACTGCCCTTCTGCCCAGCCTGTCCTGGTCTTGGTGCTCTGCCTCTTGTTTTCTTTCCTGAGGCATCAACACCTTTCTCCCCCGTGCTCATTGACCCTTAGGATGGTCAAGGCCACAAGACTTCAATTGGAATCTTGACATCCTCACTTTGTAACTGTGTGTCCATTAGAAGGTGTTTTAACTTCTTTGACCCTGGTTTCCTCATCTGCGCAAGGTGATTCATAGCAGTACTTACCATGCAGCATTTATTAGAGAATGACATGAGGGGATTGCTTTACCAGCAGCTGTCTGGGACCTTTCACTCTATCCAGATAGGAACTGTGGGTAGATGAGAAGTTAGCAGTCCTGGGCCCTTGAGTTCCCAAGGCCTGGGGGCCAACAGCTCTGGGTTCCAGCCACCAGCAGCACTAGAATGGCTTTTGTGACCTTCCAGTGGTGCCTGCTGGATTACAGCTTCTGAATGGCCTTGCGTTAGGGCAGCTTTGATAGTCCCCAGAGGCACGGCTTTTACCCCTAGAGCATTGGGGTCCTCAGGCTGGGACAGTGGCTGAGGTCACCACCCTCAGGACCCTTCGGCTGGGCAGCACCAACACTGCCTGTATTTGGAACCAGTGATCGGGACCTGTCCCCATTGCTAGAGGAGCTTAGACCAGTGACGGTCCCTAGCAAGCACCAGCTGTTACTTGACCCTGGGCGGCCACACTGAGGGTCCAGCCTTTCCTTAGGCATCACCCGGCTGGTGACATCCGGTGGCAGCCAGTCTTTAGCTAGCATACTCCACACTGGGACCGGACTGGCACCGTGGCCAGGCGTTTCCCAGTCTCACCATGAGCCTAGTGCATTCTGCCAAGCAGGAAAGACTGTATCCAAGTTATTCATTGCTGTCTTCTGGTGTTTTATTCATTGTCATTCTGCACGCTGTTTCGTTTGGAGGAAAGAAGTTTGCTACTAACAATGGAAAGCACGGGGGTGTGGCTTTGGGAGGATAAAATGTTCAGTTTGGTTTGATCAATGGAAAGCACTGGGGGTGTGGCTTTGATAGGATAGAATGTTCAGTTTGGTTTGATCAATGGAAAGCACTGGGGGTGTGGCTTTGATAGGATAGAATGTTCAGTTTGGTTTGATCAATGGAAAGTATTGGGGGTGTGGCTTTGGGAGGATGGAATGCTCGGATTGGTTTGATCAATGGAAAGCGCTGGGGGTGTGGCTTTGGGAGGCTAGAATGTTCAGTTTGGTTTGATCAATGGTTAGCACGGGGTTGTGGCTTTGGGAGGATAGAATGTTCAGTTTGGTTTGATCAATGGTTAGCACGGGGGTGTGGCTTTGGGAGGATGGAATGCTCGGATTGGTTTGATCAATGGGAAGCGCTGGGGGTGTGGCTTTGGGAGGATGGAATGCTCGGATTGGTTTGATCAATGGGAAAGCACGGGGGTGTGGCTTTGGGAGGATGGAATGCTCGGATTGGTTTGATCAATGGAAAGCGCTAAGCGCTGGGGGTGTGGCTTTGGGATTGGTTGATGACGTCTCTGGAGGAGCGCAGTGAGTGGGAGAGCACCCCCCCCCCCCGCACTCCCCAGGGAATGGAGACACAATAAACACTTCCATTGCCTGGGAGAGCCGATTATTAAATCCTGGCTGGACCCCAGCTGCACATTCCTGACCATTGTTGTAACGGTACTTGATGCTCAGTCCTGTGTGGACCTTCTTAGTCTGGCTCTGCCCAGGCTGGACTTGGCTGGACCAGGCCCTGGGCTGTGGCTGGGTCCAGATCTCCTCCTTGACTAGCAGCCCTCTGCACTGCAGTCTCCTCACCATGCAAACACATTCCAAGCCCCTGTTATCAGGATCAAGCCTCTGATCAGCAGGAAGCAGCTGGAAGCCAGAGGCCCAGGGACAGTGGGGTGGGGATTGCTTCCCGGGGGTGAAGGGAGGGAGTGGATCAGTATTTTTGATCCTGGAGTCCCCAGAGGGGGGACAACGTGTGTGTGGAGAGGGGTCCTCCCTCATCTCAGCGGGCACCGGTGGCTCGCGCCTGTCATCCTAACTACTCAGGAGGCTGAGATCTGAGGATCGCTGTTCAGAGCCAGTCTGAGCAGAAAAAGCCAGAAGTGGCACTGTGGTTCAAGTGGCATTGCGCTAGCCTTGAGCACAGAGGCCGGGGACAGAGCCGAGGCCCTGAGCTCAAGCTCCAGAACTGGCAAAAAAATAAATAATACCAGGGTCAGGGATGCCCGCAGCTCCTGGCTACTGCCCCTTAGCAAGCGCTCTGCACGCACATGTTAAATAGTGGTGAGAGAGGATCCTGTTTTATTTTCACGACTTCCTCCTGGGACTCGCTTTGTTGGCACAGCCCACAATAGTAGCTGTTTGCGGTGGGTACAGTAGTCAGGTGGCGTCTCCTCCCCTGCCCAGAGCAATGGGCAGCGGCCTCTCTCGGGGTGGCAGACACCAGCTCCGCACAGATGTCTCCCTGTTGGTGGTCTCATTTATTATCATCACAGCAGACAGAATCCTAAAATACCCACATTTCTGAGTCTGGGAGACTTGCACTTCCATGTTGAACAGGGGCCTCTTAGGGGGTCTGGTGCCTCACCCCCACCCCAGGTTTGGTCTAAATTAAGGTTGGTACAGCTGTGTTAAATTCGCACCGTGTGCCTGGCTGCTGTCATCTGGATCTGTGCCGCCCCACGGCGCAGAGCACAGGCCGGGGAAGAGCAGCACCGCGTGGCCGGGGAGACAGACAGGAGCGACTGAACCTTCCAGGGCTCCGTGGCAGCTCCCCAAGCCTTGTCACCCTTCCGGAGAGGGAACAGGCCTGGGCAGGCAGGGCGGGATGTAAATCAGAACCCTTCAGAGCCAGCCGCTTCCCAGCACAAACTCAGCTCCTCCTCACCCCGCAGCACCTCTGCAGGGCCAGGCACCCTGCCCAGTGCTGAGGAGTCCACGGGCTGGGTCTTAGTGCTCTGTCTCGATGGAGATTGTGAGTAGGTGAAGAGAAGCTCTTCCAGGGCTGGCAGCCCTGGCTGCGACTTCCCCAGGCCTGGGGCTGGACTGACAAGCCTTACGAGCTAGGGGGTCTGTGCTGCAAGATTCAGAAGCCAGAGCCCGGGCTGGGAAGGTGGCTCAGTGGTAGAGCGCTTGCCTTGCATGCATGAGGCCCTGGGTTCGATTCCTCAGCACCATATACACAGAAAAAGCTGGAAGTGGCGCTGTGGCTAAAGTGGTAGAGTGCTAGCCTTGAGCTGAAGAGCTGTGGGACAGCGCCCAGGGCCCAGAGTTCAGGCCCCATGACCGACAAAAAAAAAAAAAAAAAGCAGAAGCCAGAGCCCTGGCCCCAGGCCCTCGGGGTGGAGACTGGCTGTGCTGGGGTTTAGCTGCCTCCCCCACACACGCCCATGGGAGCCATGCAATGCCTGCTCTCCAGCAGGAGCAGCAATGGCACACACAGCATCACAGCTGTCAAGTCAAGGGCCCAGTAGAAGGAGCACCCATGGTCCAGAACATTCAGTACGGGGCGTGCACCAAGGGGAGGCATAGCGCCCAGGGATGAAGCGGGGGGGGGGTAGGAGGGGGCAGGGCGCCCCACTGGGCCTACTTCCCCCAAGCCCAGTGCTTCAGGGCCTCTGTCCCGCCCCAGCCACCTCCGGCCAGTGCCTCAGTCCCAGTCTCCGCTGTTCCCAGGGCACCCTTTCTGGACAGGACCAGCCCCTGTGCCTGGGGGCACCCGGCAGTCTCCTGTCAATATCCAGTCGAGAGACGCGTTGTACGACCCACGGCTGGAGCCGCTCAACATCTCCTACCACCCTGCATCCTGCCGCTATATCTGGAACACCGGCTACTTCTTCCAGGTGGAGTTCGACGATGCTGCCGCCGCCGCAGAAAGGTCAGGTGAGCCAAGCCGGCCTTTGAGGCCCTCCACTCCACCGCGCACAGCCCTACCCAAGCCACCTGCCGGCCGGGAGCAGGGAGAGGCACACGCGTGGGCACCGTCACACGGGAAGCCACAAGGAACGTAAAGCCCCTTCCCTCCTCGGCTTCCATCCCAGGGCAGGATGAAGAGGAGTTGATAAAAGCTGTGAGTAAGGCCAGGTGCCAGTGGCTCACACCTGTAATCCTTGCTAGTCAGGAGGCTGAGGTCTGAGGATCCCGGTTCAAAGGCAATCTGGGCAGGAAAGTCCATGAGACTCATCTCCAGCTAATTACCAAAGCCTAAGTGCAGCTGTGGCTCAAGTAGTAGAGCGCTAGCCTTGAGCACAAAAGCTTAGGGACTGTGCTCAGGTTGCCAGGATCTGTATGTACACGTGCGCGCACACACACACACACACTCAGCTGTGAGTGTTGAGATCAGGCCAGTGTCTGGGGCTGGGTAGAGGGAGAGCAGTCCTGACTTCGGTGTGTGTGTGGTGTCACTGCTCAGGCACAGTGAGCTCCAGCAGGAGAGAGGATTCGTGCGGTCACCCTGGGCCGGTCCTCTCTGATCTCATCTTTACTCCACCAGTGAACAATCCCCTGCACTGAGGAAGACCTGAGGTGGCGCATGACAAAAGCCCAGCCCCGATGGGCTTAGCCCGTGGGAAATGCGTCCACTCGGGTCCTGCAAAGGGCAGGGCGCCACTGGCTGGCGCACCAGAAGATGCCAGGGGAAGCTGAGGGCCCTCTCCTCCCTCTTGCTCCACTTTTTCCCGGTGGAGTCTTGCTCAGCTGGAGATTCCCTAGTAGAGGCCAGGAATCAGCTCGGCCTCTCACCAGGTGGACCAAGAAAGAGCCCCTTGCTGGCTGATGTGTGTCCCCACGGTGACCACCGGTCTGGGTGGAGCAGTCCCTGGCCAGCTGGAGGCTGAGCTGCCCTGGAGAGAGAGAAGGGAGTAAATGGACTCCACAGGACCACAGGCCGCTGCTCCCGGGGGTGAGGCAGGGGCTGAGAGCCAGCCGGGGTGCTCTCCTGTGGACACTGGCCTTGTCCGTTGTCCTGAGCTCACCCTGGCCCACCCTAGATTGGTGCTTCAAGGCTTTGCGCTGCCTCCAGGCAGCAGGCCCACCGCTGGCCTCATCCTCACCCGACCTGGCTTCCCCATCCCCATCTGGGTCAAAGGGCGCACCCTCCCTCACCACAGACCGAAAGAATTAGCTGGGTGTCTCTCTTGCCATGTGAATTAGTTGGCTAATCCCTGGTGGCTCACATCCATGCGGATCAATCTGGTTTTACTTTCTTCTCTGTTTTCCCAGAAAGCCAGTTCCCCGTTTCCATCTGTCCTACTGGCTTTCACGGCCGCTGCGCCCCTCCCGGCTTGGCCACCCTCCACGCCGGCTCCGGCTGCCCCTTTCCAGGTTTTCTGTTCTCTTCATTCTCTTCCATTGGAAACTGGGAGCAAAAATCAATTGGAAGACACAGCTGGAAGATGGGGAGGGCCGCACAGGGTTCCAGCCAGAAAATAAGACTAAGGAGACTCTCCCAAACGTTTAAGGAAAGAAAAAAACTGGATAAAGGAAAGGAAATTAAAGAAGAAAAGGAGGAGGAGGAGGAGGAGGAGGAGGAGGAGGAGAGGGCTCATAAGCAAGTCAGAAAGTGAGCAGAGAAGGTATGTGGCACGGAAACAATTTTGCATAAAATATGATGCTTTGGGGCTCGGCTACACCAACAGAGGGGTGCCAGACACGACGAGCAAAGTTGGAGCAAGAGGCCGAGGAGGTTTCCGCCGGTCAGCGGTCAGCACGAGCATCCCGGGGCTTTTCCAGGAGGGGAGGGTTGCAGGGGAGAGGAATGGTTCCAGGAATGTGAGCCGCTGGAGGCCCGGGGAAGAAGGTCTGGCCTAGGAGGCGGAGCAGGACAGAGGGAGGAAGAGAGGCAGAGGCCAGCGTGCGGAGCGGAGAGGAAACCATGACACCCACACAGACGGCGCGCAGGGCCTCCTTCACAGACCTGTCCACGGCGGAGGGCTCCACAGGCAGCAGAGCCCGGGCCGCTGTGTGTCCCGGGTGCTCTGCCCGCTGCCAGGGGCATGAAAAGCCGGCTGGCCTCTCAGACCCCGTGTGTCCTCTGCCGTCTTCTGGGCCAGTACTGGCCGTGCAGGGCGCTGGAGGAAGTGAAGAGGGGCCTGCGCGGGGTGACAGGTGCCCTGCTGGAGGGCGTGTGGTGGGCCTGGGACACCTCCCCTGAGGGGCGCAGGCCGCGTGCTCTTTGTGACGTTTTCCCACCACAGGCGCGCAGAGAAGCACAGAAACCGCAGCCGGCCAGGCCCAGCCCCGGCTTCCTCTGACTGGGGGAACGTGGCGCATTTGTGGCACGTGGCTGACCTGCAGGAAACCCGGGGCCCCGTGGCAGCACAGTGGCTCGCGGGCCTCCGAAGGCCACTCCGAAGGCCAGCAGTGGACATGGAGGCCTCGTGCGTGCCTACTGCCAGGCTCCCAACGTTAACGCCAACTTGAAGTCACGCAAATTCATAAGTAGGGCTCACTAGGGCCTCTGCGCCGCCTGCAATGGATCGAGAGGCTCTGTGTCAAGAGGCCCAGCACCCCGGCAGCCGAAGGCCGTTTCCCCATCAGCCCCTGCGCAGATGCAGGAGTTCAATGAACCTTTGTTCCTAGCGGAGGAGGCACGGCCGGCAGACAGGAGTTTAAAGTTTACAGATTTCTGTCAGGGATCTTTGGTGACAGATCAGAGACACAGTAAGAACAACATAAAATAGGCTCCCAAGAAAATGTGGGGCCCTCACCTGGACAGATGGCCCGGAGACAGGGCAGGAACACAAGAGCAGGCGCTGTTTCTCCAGCCCTCCAACCTCTGTGCCACTGAGGGAGATTGGAGCCTGAAGGAAGGAGCCTTCCCAGGGCCCCGCCAGGCGATGCAGATGATGCTGAGGCTCCAGGAGGCGCGGCCACTCTACAGCGGCGCTGTGGGCTAGGCACCCCGAGATTCATTGTGGTGGCACTGCCAGGAGCTAAGGAGCTCAGTCCAAAGCCACCCCCTCCCCTCCCCCCCAGTGAGATGGAAGAGCGCAGCCTGGACTCTTCTATCCACAAAGACACGCGGGAGCAATCCTGCACCAAATCATCACTTCGCGAAGAGTGTGTCTGCCGGTGGCTACACCACGGTGTGAGCACCAAGGTGTTTTCCATCCCAACCAAGATGCTACCAGGTGGTTTTCTCTTCCAGCCAGAACTATCTCTAGAGTTGACCAGAATTCAGCCCTCCCTCTGGCCTCCCAAGCCAGAGTCCCTATCCAAACCCCGCCCCTGACAAGTGCAGAGCCTGCGCGGTCAGTCCCTACGCAGGAACGGGAGCACACATTTCACCAGTCCTCTGGCGAGGGTCCTTTGGGTCTAATGGGCAGAAATCACCCGTAGCTAAGGAGTAGCTCCTCCAGTGTTGGCAAACCTGGGCCCTTGAGTGTCAAATACTTAGGGGCTGGGCACACAGGAGCCCACTGCCCCCTGTCCTGTCTAGTGAAAGCTAGAACCACAGCGCCAGGCTTTTGAGGCCAGAGAATTATAGCTGTCAGTGCTCAGGTTACAGGCTGGCCACTTGAGTCTCACTGCTAGTGGCCAGGCATTTGCTAGCAGTGTAGTCCTTTATTAGTGGTGATCCACGCCAGCTAGAGTCTTGAATCAGAGCCAAGGGGGTTGAAGAGTCAAATGGGTGATGGCCTTGCATGGTCTTGTATCTGTGGTCTTTTGTGTTGTGTCCTAGGGCTTGAACTCAGGGCCTGTGCCCTGTCCCTGAACTTTTTCGCTCAAGGATAGCACTCTACCTCTTAAGCTACAGCTCCGCCTACAGCTTTTTGGTGGCTAACTGAAGATAAGAGTCTCTTGGACTTTCCTGCCCAACCTGGCTTCAATCCACAATCCTCAGATCTCGGCCTCCTGAGCAGCTAGGATTACAGGAATGAGCCACCAGTGCTTGGTGGGTCCTGTCTTGGAGGAATGGCAGATGTGTCAGACGGCAGCGGATCTCCGCGTTGATGGTCGCCGTGACTCTGTAGTCAGTCACAGTGGGCAGGACCAGGGACTTGACTCAGGAAGCACTTGGTAAATATCGCCATGATTGATTGGTGCCTTGTTCCCATGAAATACGCATCATTATCCTTGAACAGATGTCAGGTCTGAGACTCAGAGAGAGAAATAACCACTCAAGGCCTCTCTGTGTGAAATCAAGGCTTGCGTTCAGGCGCTTGGACACTGGCTACTTCCGGAGCCACCAGGAACCAGCCAGGAACAGGCTAAACTTTCTACGAGGTCATGTTACTGGCAGTTCCTACCAATGGGAACATCTCCAACTTTTCTTATGTTAATTTTAAGCCTTAAAACCTCCATGCCCACCAAAAGCCCGCTCATCCTGGAGCCAGTGTAGGTGTCTGTTCTGTTCCCCGGGACCTGTTTGAACAGCAGACACAATATTATCTGAGACCAGACAGCTCGCAGGGGCCCGGCCCTGACTGACAGCTGCTGTTTTATCTGGGGGCTCCGGCTCTGACTGATGCAATTATGCAGTTGTATCTCTGCGAGCACCACTATCTCAGCCGCACCTGCTCAGCAAGGGGGGATGGATGGGAACACCAGGGGATGGATGGTCACGCCACGCATGACAAACCGCGGTTGACAGTCCCAGGGGACTGGCTAGCGGAAGGCCTCCTCACAACTTGGGCCTGCCTCTTTTTTAGTTAGAGGAAGTTACCTTATCACTGTATTATGTGAAAAGTCCATTGAAATTGTTTTATCAGTCTATAAATAACCTTAAAGCCGGTCCGTACTACCATAGCTGAAGGGCCGCAGGATCTTGCAGGCCTGGGCAGGGCTTGGGCTCTGAGTGACCCAGAGCAGGTGAATTAACTCCTCTGAGCTCCTGCACAGGGTCCGGGGCCCAGGTGAGGAGCAGGTTCCTGGAGATGGGAAGTTCTGCATCCAGTAGCAGGTGTTTAGTGAATGCTAGCTTGTCAGTCACTCCTGACATGCGCAGAGAGTTCTCCCTCACAGATAAGGATGTGCGCTGCCCGTGGACAGGAGGCAGTGTGCCCACGGTGTGGAGACACCGTGATGGCTAGGTCCTCCGTGAGCCTCTGCATCCCATACAGACTGCCCATGGCAGCCAATGTCTTACTTTCCTTGGCTATGATCCCGTGTTGTTTTGAGAATTTCACTTACAGCAACTCTATCCCAGGAGAGCTCTCCCTGCTTGACGGATAGAGAAACCACGCTTGTCTCTGGGCCCAGTCCTAGACGCCACACTGTACTGCCTGTGGAGACAGCCACAATACATGACTTTCCACAAAATGTCGTTTTTTGGTTCTGGGTTTTTTTTTCAGTCATGGAGCTTGAACCCTGGACCTAGGTGCTGTGCCTGAGCTCAAGGCGAGCGCTCTACCCCTTGAGCCACAGGCCACTTCTGGTTTTCTGGTGGTTAATTGGAGATAAGGGTCTCACAGACTTCCCTGCCCTGTCTGGCTTCAAATTGTGATCCTCAGATCTCAGTAGCCTGGATGACAGGCGTGAGCCGCCCGCACCTGGCTCAAAATGTAGCTTTGGATAACACACCTGCCGCTTTGCTGCCTGCTGGCAGCTCTCACTGTGAGACATCACAGTAGCATCTTCCGTTCCAACTTGACAGGGCTCTTGATGGTCACGGCGGAGCCAGGCTCTGCCATCCAGGCTCCTGGGCAGTGTGTCTCAGGGACCTTGGAATAAAGAAGCTGTGCTTGGACTGAGAATGTGGCTCAGTGGTAGAGTGCTCTCCTGACATGCATGAAGCCTGGTTCCATTCCTCAGTACCACATACACAGAAAAAGCCAGAAGTGGCGCTGTGGCTCAAGTGGTAGAGTGCTAGCCTGGAGCAAAAGAAGCTCAGGGACAGTGCCCAGGCCCTGAGTTCAAGCCCCAGGGCTGGCCACAAAAAAAAAAAGAGGCAGTGCTTGGCTGGAGCCCTCTGTGCTCCCCGGCCTGCGTCCACAGACTCACCCCGGAGCTACCCCGGTCCAGTCTGGGTGGCACATGCCCCTCCAGCACCTTCCTGGGCCAGAGGACAGAGGCCCTGCCTGTCCACACAGCACCGGGAAAGCCCAGCAACACGTCTCTCCCTTGTTTCCGTTTGCATATTCAGCAGCCTTTTGGGGTTTTGTGAGTCCTCTTGGTGTCCCGGGTGTCCGCTACAAAACAAGCAAGTCCTTGTTCATGGCCAGATGCCCTGGTTGGTGTGGGCTGCGGAGGAGCGCCCGGGGGGGGGGGCGTGGGAAGGCATGCCGGCCCTCCATTTCTGCCTCCTGCTGAGGAGGGGTCGTAGCAAAGGTGGCGGGCACGGCACGTCTCAGAACACGGAGCTTGTCACACACGGCATGCGGGCATGCCCTAGATAACCCTGGAAACCCTCTTAGGATTCTCACAGTCTCCGAAGTGCCGGGAGCGGGGTCCTTACCGCCACCTAGCGGCAGCAGGGGTCAGCTCCTGCCTCCATCCCAGCAGTTCCAGGGACCCCCCCCCCCACACACACAGGGTCCGGGCCGTGTACCCCACATGGTACACTGAGCTAGGCCTGGCAGGAGAGGTGACCAGGTCAGACGAGACCCCACCTTTCCCACAGCCGCCTTATGGCTGGGCGCTTCAGAGTGCACCCTCCCTTGGCGGTGATACTGCGCAGCCACACTGCAGACAGTGGACAGTGTAGCCAGCTCAGCCCCTCTCCCCCTCCACCACACAAGCGACTGGTCTCCCTGCCCCTCCGCAGGCATCAGCGGTGGACCCTTGGAAAACCACTACCGACTCAAGCAGTTCCACTTCCACTGGGGAGCCGGGAACGAGCGCGGCGCGGAGCACATGGTGGACGACCACGTGTTCCCGGCAGAGGTTTGCAGACGCCGGGGCGCCGGTGCCCCCCACCCCCCCCTGCCAGGGTGCCCGGCCCAAAGCCACCGCACAGCACCACCAGACCACTTGCGCACACTGTCCAAAGGGGGCGCTAGAACCATCTTGGTCCTGGGGTGGCCCTGGGCCAGTTGACCCTGTCATACCCCACCCCCGCCCACCCGCCTCCCGTCCCACACCCTCTGGGTTTGCGAAGTCACGCTCCAGAGGCCCCACACCATGCGCGCAGTCGCTCAGGGAGAGTTAAGGCAGAAGGCCCCTTCTAGATGAAGCCACCACATCTTCACCAAACCACAGCTCAACCGGGGCCTGTGCTCCTGAGAGCTCAGCCCTGCCTGTGACTTTCTCCTCGGAGAGCCGGGAGGAGTGACAGGCCCACACTGGCCGAGGCCAAGGCCAGGTCCAGACTCACGAAGGTATTAAGAATCACTCTCACTAAACACCTGTCCGTCGCTGAGAACCCTGTGTTCCCTCAGGCAGTCCAGAGTGGTATGACTACCACCCCATGGAACTGCCTGCTGCGGCTCAAGGACCCAGAGCAGTCTTCTTCCTCTCCCGCCTGGACGGCAGAGGCTGGTACGGGTGCGGTCCGAGGCCCCATGCCCCAGGAGCACCGCTGCAGGGGCACCTGGGGGCCACGCCGCCACGCTTGGCTCATTGAAATTCCCAGACAGAAATCAGAGTGACAGACGTCCATTCTCTTTGTACTGTGTTTCAGCTGCATTTAGTTCACTGGAATTGTGTGAAATATGCACATTACCAGGAGGCTGTGACGGGGGAGAATGGCCTGGCTGTGATCGGTGTGTTTTTAAAGGTAACCGCTTGCTGGGCGCGGCTCTCCTGCAAAGGAACGGTTCTGCGCACCGTCTGCCCAGAGCAAGGCGCACCTTCACCCAGTCCACGGCCTTCCCACACTAACGCTCCCATGTCTGTGCTGTGCAGCTCGGGGCCCGGCATCAGGCCCTGCAGAAATTGGTGGACATCTTGCCAGAGATAAAACATAAGGTGAGCGACATCTCTAAAACAAGGCCTTGTCTGATGAGCAGAGTTGCTGAGAGCAGAGGCTAACTTGCAAGAACATGCCGAGGTTTAATAGAATGAACTTTGGAGAAAACGTGAAGCTCCAGTTCTGGTGACAGAACTCCAAGGGGCCAACTCCAGGAGTACTCCAGGGGTACTGTGAGCTAGGTTTGGGACGTGACTACAGCGCCACTTCCGGTTTTCTTGTGGTTCATTGGAGATAAGAATCTCTCAGATTTGTCTGCCCGGGCTGGCTTTGAACCGTGATCCTCAGATCTCAGCCTCCTGAGTAGCTAGGATTGCAGGCATAAGCCACAGGCATCCAGCAGATAACGTTTATTTTCAGACAGATTGAAATGCATACCTGTTAACATTTGGGAGTTGGCCAGTGTACCCCGCACCCCTTTGGTGAAGAACTGCATTAAGCTCATCCCTATTCAAGGAGAACGTGTTGTCTGGGAGCGAGGGAAAGCCACCCTACTGCCCACGGTGTGGCCACCACCAGGCTTGGCCTTTCAGCTTTTGATCGCCTTGGGGTCAGAGGGAGGCTCAAAAGGATGACAAGCGTGACTGTCGCCTCCCTCCAAGATCAGCCCAGAAGCTGTGAAGGAGCAGTGGAAGTCCCACAGCCACGGAGTTTATTTATTCACTACCACACAAAAGCGTCCCGCGGTGGGAGGGGGTGGCCGTCAGATGTGGGCAGACAATGGTGAGAGCCGCCCGGGCTTCCTCGCCAGCTCGCGGGCCCTTTGATCTGTGTGACGCGTTCTCTTGATGTTGACCTCCTGGCTGCCCCCCGGGACTGAGAGATCGCCCCCCTCTATTCTGTCCTGGGCTCAGGAATACCTCAAGGCCAAGGTGCTCAGTGTCCCTGGGCCGCATCCCCTTCCTCACTGGGCCACAGCCAGAATAAACCTGGGGCCCAGCCGGTCCCCAGCCACCCTGGAGTGAGGCTCACCCGGGTCTGATCCCACTCCTTCCCAGGAAGGCTCTGGAACATCTCCTCCTCCTCCAGCTAACAATTTTCTGAGCAAAGGGGAGCCGTGGCAGGCGGGGGAGGGGTAAGAAGGGGGAGGAGTAGGAACATAAAAGAAGCATCACTCGGGGTAAAGTCTGGTCCTGACGTTGCTCTCTGGGCCTCCATTTTCCCCGAAGAACAAGTCGGCCTTGGAGGGCTACCCAGGCCAGGGCCAGAGGAGACTGGAGGCCCCCAGTCTCCAGTGCCCAGTGAGCCTCCGTCCATCCATCAGGACACGCCCACCACAGCAGTGCGTAGGACATCCCCTCGGCCTTCCTGCCCGATCCACGACCCTGACCCACCAGGTCCGAGCTTGTGGCTTTGAGCAAGTGACTCAACCTCCGAGCGCCTCCCGTTCCCCTCTGTGAATCCAGTGCATTAGTGGTAGACATGGGGTCATTCTTCTCAGACAGAACAGGACATAGGTGGTCCCCGTCCTCTGGGCCTGGCACCAGCATGGCACAGATGGGAGAGGGCTCACAGACATGCACGTCTGCCCTGCGACACTGGGCCCCTTGCACGTGATAGAACGCCAGGCCCTGGCCACGGGAGAGGCTGCGTGCCTGTTGGCTCTGAGTCACTGGTGGAAGGCAGCAGGGAAGGACGGTGTCGGGATGGGGTGGAGGTGGGAGCTGGCTCAGGTCAGATGGGCTCGGCGTGCAGTCCCAGTGCTGGTGCTCCTCCCTGAGGACCTGGCCGGTGGTTCTTCAGGAACCGGTTCACCGCAGACGCCTCCGCCAGTGTGCGGCCGGGGGGAGCGCCTGCCTGGGCCCAGAGCCCCATCCCCTCTCCCCACTGTCTCCCCTGCGGCCGGCAGAGGGCTGCCCTGAGTCTGGGCTCTCTCCCAGCACTGGGAGTGAAAGAGTCAATGGGCAGAGCACCCAGGCGCCCGCTCTCCCTGTGGTCACTCCAGCACCGTAGCTCAGGATGGCTGCTTCCCTGTGATGCACAGCGTCCTGCAACCATGTCCCAGGAACTGCCAGGTGCATGCAGTCTCCTTCCATGCCCTGAGCTCCAAGGTCACAAAGCATTCTCACGTGCCCACCCAGCACCCACCTGGGCCAAGTGGAGTGCCAAGCCTGGTGGGCACACCTCACCAGGTGAGCCCCACCAGCGCCTGCTAGAAGGAAAGCGACCGTAGGACCCACAATGCTACACAGGTGTGCTCACCCGAGATCGGAAGCAGCTCCAGCCGGGGCAGTGTCCTCTGTGGTTGCGGCACTATTCATAAGAGCACCCCAAGTGCTGAGGGGTGAATACAAATCGCAGGTGCCAGGCCTCAGTGGGAGGCCATCGGCCATGGAAAGGAAGGCACAGGGGCATGGACGGCCCTCGTCACCGCCCAGCTCGCACTTACCATGGCAAAGATGGCCACTTCTACACACACTCCTCTGTCTCAGTAAACCCGGTACCACCTCCACCACCAAGGCAGACAGAGATGAAAGACTTTAGAAGGAAACATACCAGGTGGGGGTATTGCTCACGTGGTAGAGCACTTGCCTGTGTGAGGCCCCGAGTTCGAGCCCAGCACCACACAGGCAGGTGGGCACACATGTGCGTGTGCACATGAGGAGCTGGGCTGGTGTCCAGAGGGCTTTGCTTACTTCTGCTTCTCCCTGGGACGGTGGGGCCACACGCCCGCCCGCCACCTGAACACACATCTCCGTCCCCGTGAGCCGGAGGCCCTGTCCTCCTCCGTTCCCTTCTCCCCGACTCTGCGCAGCACCCACCGCCCTGCGCTTCTCCCTCTCAGGATACCTGGTCAGCCGTGGGCCCCTTTGACCCCACGTGCCTGCTGCCCGACTGCCGGGACTACTGGACCTACGCCGGCTCCCTCACCACGCCGCCACTGGCTGAGTCTGTCACCTGGATCATTCAGAAGCAGCCCGTCGAAGTGGCCCCCAGCCAGGTGAGCGGGGCTGCGGGGCTGTGGGGCTGGTGGGCCACGGCGGGAGTCTCCCGGGAGGGAGGTCCCGGCAGGACGCCACGACGGCACACACAGTTCCCCAGTTCACCGTTGGTGCATCTTGCGCGGTCCTGCGTCTCCTGGGAGAACGCTGCTGGCACAGGGGTCAGGGGGTTGGACCCCTTGTTCCCCACCCTTGTGCTGATGTGGAGATGTCAACCGTGGCGGTGGGGGAGACATGCTGGGGAGCCAGCCCAGCATGCGCCCTGTGATGGGGCCAGGGTCCAGCCTGGCGAGCGCGTCCCAGGGCTTGCGGTCAGGCAGTGGGCGGTGGCCCTTGGTTGTGTGGGGATGAGTCGCTGTAAAAGTCCAGAAGGGAGAGCTGAGCACGGCAGCTCGAGCCTGTGATGCTAGCTGCTTGAGAGGCGGAGATTGGAGGATCATGGGTTAAGGCCAGCCAGGGCAAAAAGTTCTCAAGACTCCATCTCATTCTGCGGTTGGGCGGCTGGGTGGCTGGGCACAGCAGTGCACCGATGTCATCCCAGCTATCGGGGAAGCGTACGCAGGAGGATCACAGCCCAGGGGGACCTAACAAGAAGAGAGGGTCGACCTCAAACGAACCAAGGCCGGTGAGGCTGGGACGTGGCGTAAGCAGCAGAACATCTGCGTAGTCTGACTTCAGTCCCCATTACCGTCCCCAGAAGGGGACTCTCTTCCCACCACGACTCGATGGAGCGGCTGGTGAATGTGAACTGGCTCTTGGCTGGCCTCAGTTTCCCTCCACTCGGGCCTCTTTACAGGCTACTGGAGCTCAGGGGGCATTGCTTCCCCCAAAGCAAATGGTCTAAAGACCTGAAAACAGCCAGGTACAGGTGGCTCACGCCTGTCATCCCAGCTACTCAGGAGGCTGAGTTCTGAGGATCGCAGTTCGAAGCCAGCCCGGGCAGGAATGTCCTGGAAACTCTTATCTCCAACCACAAGAAAACCAGAAGTGGGGCTTGGCTCAAGTGGTAGTCCCTTCTTCCCCTCAGAACCACTGTCACCGTGGGAGGGGAGAGGACAGGGCCTTGGGAGCTGACTTCGGTCCTGGGAGCTGGGTGACCCCGCGCTGCCCAGCACCCTGGCTGTTCTCTGTTGTAGCTGTCCGCATTCCGGAAGCTCCTGTTCTCTGCCCAAGGCGAGGAAGAGGAGATGATGGCCAACAACTACCGCCCGCTGCAGCCCCTGCTGGACCGGAAGGTCCGTGCGTCCTTCCGGACCCCTGAGGGTGCTGAGGCCGCCAGCCCCACCCGGGCTGGGAGAACTGACTGAAAGGGAAGCGCACTTCCCAGGGGAGTCACACAGGACCCATGGATTAAACCGCAAAAGCGGAATCGCCGTGTAGGTCTGTGTCTCGGGCGACCCACGGCAGCTGTTAGGTGACTCTGGGACATCAAAGCCACCTCGCCCCAGGCCATCCGCTCGGCCTCTGTCCACGCCATTCTCCCCTTCTCCGCACAAGGTGTCTTCTGTCTGTCCCCTCCCAGCCCACTCCGGAGTTCCCGGTGACACAGAGACAGGCTGGCACCTGCTCTAGTTCCAGAGCCCCTGTGTGCAGCGTCCTGTGTGCCCCGGTTCTCTGCCCTCAGAGGCTCGAGACCCTTGTTGGTTTCCCCAAACCATCCCAGCCCCCTGGTTGACAGCACCGGAGCCCAGCTCCGTTCCTCGCCTCTGCCACCTCTTCTGTGACTCACCATCCAACACAGCACGCTCAGCCCCACCTGACCTCCTAGAGTGTCAGCTCCGAGGAACAGAGCCAGTCCACCCCAGGATGGCCTAGGCTGCGTCCACACCAGCAACAGCAGAGCCTGACACACAGCAGGACCCCAGAAGACATTATGACGGAAGGAGTCAGGGCGGCCTTGCCCTGAGAGTTCTCTCTCCATCGAAGGGCTGGGTCCTCCTAAAAGACACAGTGGCATCATGAAGCGAAGGGAAATGGGGCTTAGGCACTGTCTGTGCTCGGGGTCGAGTCTGCCTGAGGCTCTACCCAGGCAGGCACAGAAGCCAATAGAACCCTTTCACCTCAGACAGTCTGGGTTTCTTTTATTATTTACTTGGGGCAAAAATATTCCAATCAAGCTGGGTACCAGTTTGGTTTTTCAGGAGGCTGAGATCTGAGGGTTGAGGTTCGAAGCCAGCATGGGCAAGAAAACCTGTGAGACTCTTATCTCCAGTTAACCAGTGGAAGCCAGACGTGGAGGTTAGGAGAACTTTGGCCTTAAGCAAAAAAAAAAAAAAAAAAAAAAACTAAGGGACAGCGCGAAGTCCCTAAATTCAAGCTCCAGTCCTGGCATACACATACACACACACACACACACACACACAATCAATACTTTCATAGGATGAAAATATTTTCCCTCTCGGTAAAGACAAAGTTCTATAAGCAACCTGATTGTGTTATCTTGGAACATTTCCTTACCGTCAGATAAACAATGAGAAACGGCATAGAAAAATAAGCAAACACACTTGTGTCTCTCAAGGTACCGTGATGAACTGCATTTCTTTGTGGGAGATAAAGAATAAACACCACTCTGATCCACAAATAGCCTCTAAAATCAAAGCGAGTGGCGAGTTTGCTTTGGCAGGGCTTCGCTTCTCTCCCATCCCGGGATTGCACGGCGCAGCTGCGGTGTCTGAGCTGGCAGGGGCTCCACGCTCTTTTTTCTTCTTCTTTTACTTTTCTTCCCTGTCAAGTCACTTCACTGGTTCTCTATGGCGGTTGGTTGTATCTGTGGAAATACTTCCCTGAACTACCAAGTCTTTATTTAATTCTTTTTTTTTGTCGGTTGTGGGGCTTGAACTCTGGGCCTGGGCGCTGTCCCTCAGCTCTTCAGCTCAAGGCGAGCGCTCTACCACTTGAGTTACAGCGCCACTTCCGGTTTTCTAGTGGTTTATTGGAGATAGGAATCTCACGGTCTTTCCTGCCCAGGCTGGCTTTGAACCTCGATTCTCAGATCTCAGCCTCCAGAGTAGCTAGGATTACAGGCGTGAGCCACCGGCGCCCAGCTTTTAATTAATTCTTAAAAATTGCATGCGGTGTAATAATGATAAGGTCCCGTAGCAAAAATCTAAAGCATTTGTTTGAGACACAGAGAAAAAAATACAGAAAACGATGTTGTTGTTGAGGGTGGTCTGCGTGTTCACATTCATCCTCACAAATGTGTGTGCCGATCACGTGGCTCTTCCACCCTCTGGACCAAGGATTTGCCCTCTCCAAGGCCACGTGGCAGGCCCTGCGCCGGGCTCTGCCGGGCTGCACTACGCCGCAGAGGTCCCCCGCAGTGGGGTCTGCGGGCTGCACTCTGCCGCAGAGGTCCCCCGCAGTGGGGTCTGCGGGCTGTGATTCCACCGCAGAGGTCCCCCGCAGTGGGGTCTGCGGGCTGTGATTCCACCGCAGAGGTCCCCCGCAGTGGGGTCTGCATTCCGCCGCAGAGGTCCCCCGCAGTGGGGTCTGCACTCCGCCGCAGAGGTCCCCGCAGTGGGGTCTGCACTCTGCCGCAGAGGTCCCCCGCAGTGGGGTCTGCGGGCTGCACTCTGCCGCAGAGGTCCCCCGCAGTGGGGTCTGCACTCCGCCACAGAGGTCCCCGCAGTGGGGTCTGCACTACGCCGCAGAGGTCCCCCGCAGTGGGGTCTGCGGGCTGTGATTCCACTGCAGAGGTCCGCCCCGCAGTGGGGTCTGCATTCCGCTGCAGAGGTCCCCCGCAGTGGGGTCTGCGGGCTGTGATTCCACCGCAGAGGTCCCCCCGCAGTGGGGTCTGCGGGCTGCACTCTGCCGCAGAGGTCCGCCTGCAGTGGGGTCTGCATTCTGCCACAGAGGTCCGCCCCGCAGTGGGGTCTGTGGCTGCATTCCGCTGCAGAGGTCCCCCCGCAGTGGGGTCTGCATTCCACTGCAGAGGTCCCCGCAGTGGGGTCTGCATTCCGCCGCAGAGGTCCCCCGCAGTGGGGTCTGTGGGCTGTGATTCCACCGCAGAGGTCCCCCGCAGTGGGGTCTGCATTCCGCCGCAGAGGTCCCCCGCAGTGGGGTCTGTGGCTGCATTCTGCCGCAGAGGTCCCCCGCAGTGGGGTCTGCATTCTGCTGCAGAGGTCCGCCCCGCAGTGGGGTCTGCATTCTGCTGCAGAGGTCTGCCCTGCAGTGGGGTCTGCGGGCTGTGATCCCAGGGGCACCTGAAAGGCATCTCAAGCTCTGCAGGAGGAACAGAAGCTCATCAGCAGAGGTTACACCGTCCACCAGCAGAGCCAACGGTCTTTCTTTACACACACAGGGGCAATTATTTTGAGATAGCTTGAGAACAATTCCCAGATTGTGTTTTCAAAACAGAAGTCTTCCTGAAGCCCTCCAAATAGGATCCTTTAGATCAGAAATTGAAGCCACAGCCTGCCAAGCATGGCCTGGCTCCTGGGTGCTTCCCCTCACCCACCTCTGCTACCTGCCTCCGGCCCCAGCACGTGACCTCTCGGGACTGGGAGGGAGAACAGGGGCTCTCGCAAGGCTCTGCAGCTGGGCATGGATGGGGAACCGGCCACAGACGATGGCCAGGCTCCGGAAGCGGCGGGCTGTGCTGCGCTGTGGAGGGAGATGGGGCTGGGGTTAGCTCCTGGGACCTGAGGCCGGGATGAAGCAGTGTGGAAGCACGTGACCCTCCTCTGTGGGCCGTCCACTCCCACAGGGACTTGAGACTGAGAAAGACAGACCAGGTGTCAGCAGGGGGAGGCCGCACACCTCTGTGGACTGACACACCCCCTGGGGCTGGAAGAGCAGGTGGAGGTGGGGCCTGGCTTTGTTCATCTCCTCGTTGATTTGGGGATGTCCCCTGGGCTCTGTGCCTCCTGAATCATGTTCTCATTTGTCCATTATTGCGAAAAACAAGACCTGTTCTCCCTGAGACCTGAGATATTCCCAGGATGTGGACCAGGCCTGGACACATGGCTACAAGACCACAAAGAAGCCCGAGGAAGAGTTGTTGGTTTCAGCCCTCAAAGCAACAGTGCATGCACGTGTGTGTATGCGCACATTCACACACACACACACACACACACACTAAGTAAACAAAAGAAAGAGGCCCCATGCGGACCTGAATGGGAGGGCGGGCTTCCATGGTGAAGGAACTCCACCTCACTTTTGTCCTGGAGAATTTCTGGTCCAACTTTTGAAGTTCAAGGCTTCCTCCCTTGGCTTTCATGTTATTTTCTCGTTTTGTAAGAATACAAATGCGTGAGAACCGCTGCTCATTCCCGGCACACGCGGTGGCTGCCTCCCCCCTCCCTTCCCCCTCCCGTGAACGCCCAGCACACTCACAATAACAGCAGGAACCAAGTTCTACACGCCCCCCAGCACCTGTCGGCCCTCTCAAGCAAACACTCTTCTATCCACCCAAGTATGACTGGGTTGCGTAGCCGGGCGTTCAACATCCTGCTAACGTGCTTCCGTGTAGAAGGTGTTAAATTGGACCAACACCAGACTCAGGGAGGCCCTGCAGGTCTTCTCATCTCAGTCATGGTGCTATGGCTTCAGTGGGTCCTGCTGACCAAACCCCGAGTGATGGCCTCTTCCACATCTCCTCCTTCTGCTGGGCCTCCTGTGGCTTCCTGTGCCACCGTCTGGCCGGTGTCCCTTGCCATCTGGCTTAGCCTTTCCCCTTCCTCCTGGCCAGCGTCTCCTCCTTCCCAAATCCACCTTCTCTGAGTGGGGAAAGATTTCTTGGTTTGCTTGTTGTTTGCCGTTGGTTCTTGAGACACAGCATGGACCCTCTATGTTGTTTTCTTCCTGCCCCCTCCCTCCCCCGCCCCCCGTCAGAGCTGCCCTGGCTCTCCTGCCATTGCTTGACCCCATAGCCATCTGCACACATCACTGCTGCCCACCCTTGCCCCTCCTCCACCTCCGGAGTCCTCTTCCCGAGCTGGGAACACAGGGCAGGGGAGCAGCTCGCTTTCCCAGGCCCTCTCAGGCCTTGAGAAGGACAGTGGTCGGCCTCAGCACGGCTTGTTCCAAAGGAAAGAGTTGAACCCTGAGCTATGAAGTCTCAAAGTGAGCCGGGCGCTGGTGGCTCATGCCTGTAGTCCTAGCTACTCAGGAGGCTGAGATCTGAGGGTCAGGTTCAAAGCCAGCCTGGGCAGGAAAGTCTATCAGACTTACAGACTTCCGTTTCTGAACTTAGAAGTTCTTTTTAAGAAATGTGAACCTTTTTTACTGGATTCTGGAAATTCAGAGAGGGCCGCTCTGCACACACGTGCTCCAGTGCAAACAGGGACCAAACAGACATCAAACGCCG